CAGTTTCTTCTTCTTGGTTTTTTCTTTTTCTTTTTTTAAAAAATGTATTTGGTTGTTACAGGGTCTCACTGTGCAGCTCAGAGTCATAGGATCCTCCTGTTTTCAGCCTTCCCAGTGCTGGGATTATAGGGGTGCACCACTAGGCCCAGACTCTGTGGCCAGCTCAACCCACCCTGGGGATGGGACTGGCACAGCATGTGGCACCTGGGATCAAGCTGTGGTCCCTGCACTTGCCTAAGCTTGCCTAGGCAGGAGCTTCGGTCCACTGAGCTATCCTATGGCTCCATCTCACTTGCTTTTTGATGTTGGATGCTTAGTATGTATGTGGCAAATCCATTGTGAAGGTTTCATGGCTTTACTGGACAGCCAGGTACCACGTTTTTGTTTTGTTTTGCTTTAGACATAGTTCCCTATATAACCATGAGTTTAAGCCCCAGACTGGCTTAAACTCAGTGTGTAGCTCAGGCTGACCTCAAATTTGCAGCACTCCTCCTGCCCTAGCCTCCTAAATGCTGGGATTACAGGCCTGTGCCCCCGTACACGGCTACCACATATTATACAAAATGAGCTTGGAGAGTGTGAATTGCCTGTTGCAATGACCCACAATTTAACTGGGACTCCTGGCATTTTCTTTCAAATGCAGCCTTCATTGAAAAGAAAGTTTTGGGCTAAATATTGTCTGAACAAGATATCCTGCCTGCATCTCGTACTCTGAGTAACTACTATGAAGACAACGATACCGAATGCATTCATTACTGTCCCTCTCTTACTCAACACAGCCTCATTTCTGCTGGTGTCTTAGAGTCCACTCAAGTTTCCTCACGGGATCTTCTCCCTCTGCAAAGAAGCTCTCGAAGCTTTCAAAGCTTTCCTCACTTTGGCCAGGGCGAGACTGTGAATTTACCAAAGCTGTGACTGAGACACTGTGCAGTTCAGGAAAGAGGTGTCAACTGAAGCAGTGAATAAAATAACAGGCAGGCACATACCAGCTAAGTCAGAGTAGGACGTAAAGTCTGCCGTAAGATGTAGCTCGTCATTTGCCTCCTGCTGATAGGGTTTTGGTGTGCGTCTACAAGCAACTGACTTATGATGGTCTCTGTGCAGTCAGACCGCTCTGCCGGTGTGAATCTGTGTCTGCGTCATGACCTCAGCTCCACCTCAGATCATTAGGCACTCAGTTCTCATAAAGAACATACTATCTAGACCCCTCACCGGTGCAGTTCACAGTAGAGTTCACACTCCCATGAGAATCTAATGCTGCTGCTGGTCTGAAAGAAGGTAGAGTTCAGGTGGTAGTGCTGGGAATGGGACACAGGTAGCCCCTCAGGCTACTTCCTGTCCACAGCCTGCTTCCTAACAGGCTACTGCCTGGTACTGGCCTGTGGCTCAGGAAACCCTTATCATATGGCATTTAGCCAGGGTGGGCCCTAGCTACAGTGCTGATACCTGGACTCATTCATTTGTCCCTTACACAAACATCCTGAAGGGGACACCACCAGTGTCCCCATGTGGCCCTGAGATGTAGTCATGAGCACCAGCTCAAAGGTGGCTGGGACCTGGACCAGTGCCTGGCTCCCTAGCCTGCCCTCCTGACCTGTCCTCTCCAGATTCCCTGTGTAGGGATACACAGCAGCCCATCTTCACACCAGTGCAGTGATGCAGAAGAAATATCGCCCACCGTGCATGTGGGGAAACTGAGGCCCAGGCTCAGAACCGCAGACCCCGTCTGCCCCATCCCCCTGCAGACCTTGTTCTTGCCCCACAGGAGTCTCAGGGCTCCAAGGCGTCTCCAAAGTGCTTTGGCCAGGGTCCCCATGCTGGGGGTCTCTGTCCAGCCCTCGGATCTTAGCCCCCATCCCCACCCTGAACGTTCCCTTTGGCTTGTTTCATTTCTGCTTGCTGACTGGTGGAAGCTCACTGCACATTGTGTGAATCCATACAACTTTTCCATGCCTCGATTTGGGTTCTTTTTGCTTGGGTTGGCTTTGCTTACTACACAAGTTTTTAGTTTTACACAGCTGAATAGGTCTATCACTTACTTTGTACACTCAAGATTTCCACTCACGGTTGATAAAGCCTCTAGGAAGGGCTGGGGCTGGGGCTCGGTGGGTAGAGCAGTTGGCCAGTGTGTGGGAGGCTGTGGGCTTGACCCCAGCACTGCATAAAAGCAAACAAAAGTAACAGAAGACCCTTGGCTGGAGGTGGCAGCTTCCTTTCAGCTCCTTCTTCCTGTCCTAGCCTATCCTTCAGTGTGTGTTGGAGGGAAGAGCTTTCTCCTTGCCAGCTCATAAGACTTCATATATTTTAGCGATTAGCTCTGTTATGCAGACTGCAACAAAATTTTGCCCTCATGTTTTGTCTTGCAAAGGTTTTAAAAGTCTTTTTTTTAAGGCTGGGGGTGGGGTGAGGGCTATAGGTCCTCATGCAGGTGGGCTACAGCTCCGCGGTGTAGTCTGCCTAGCAAGCGCAAGGTCCCGAATTCATTCCCAGTACTTCCCCACAAAAGGCTGGGTGTGGTGGTGCACACCTGTGTAACTCCAGCGCTTGCGAGGCTGATGCAGGAGAATCATGGTGAGGTTCAGAGCAGCCTGGGCTACATGGTGAGTTAAGAACCAGCCTGAACTATATAGTGAGAACCTCTGTCAAACAAACAAATCTGATTCGAGTGCGGTGCCTAAGCCACAGTTTGGTGCCTGCCATTCCAGCAATCCAGGACGCTGAAGCAAGAGGATTGTTAATTTGGGTTGAGCCTGAACTCAGCCACTTAGCAAGACTACTCAAAATTTAAACAAGGGGTGGAGGGGACTCAGTGCAAAGGTCTTTTTAAAAAATGTATTTAGTACAGAGTCTCACTACACAGATCCGGCTCGTAGTGATCCTCCTGTTTTCATCCTCCCAAGCGCTGGGATTAGAGGTGCACCACCAGCCGATCTCAGTCGCTGTCTCAGCGCCCCCCGGGGGTGGGGCTGGCGCGCAGGCCTGGCCCCTGCGTCTAACTAAACAGGCGCTTTAATCCGCGGAGCTATCCGGCTGGCCTAGTGAAAGGTCTTAATTTCAACCCCCAGGACCACAGAAGAGAAAAAAATGTCCTTAGCTCCTGCCAACTGACTTAATGACTTTCTTACAATGTTAGACAAATACCTAATCTGTCAGCTCTGCCTTCCCCCACGTGGGTCTCCCCCTTCCCAGTCCTTATCTTGCAGCTTCTTCCTTCCCACAGTCAGGTACATAAAAGCCCGCGGGAAGTGGCTCTGCAGTGCCACCATGTCCGTGCTGTGTCCCCTGCTGCTGGCGCTGGCCCTGGTGGCCGCCCCCGGAGTTCGAGGAGCCTGCCCGGCGCCCGCCGACCTCAAGACGGAGGACGGGACCCGCACCTGCGCCAAACTCTACGACAAGAGCGACGCTTACTACGACAACTGCTGCGCGGGCGCCGAGCTGTCGTTGCAGCCAGGTGCCGACCTGCCCTACCTGCCCTCCAACTGGGCCAACACCGTGTCCTCACTCGTGGTGGGCCAGCGCTGCGAGCTCACCGTGTGGTCGCGCTCTGGCAAAGGCGGCAAGTCACGCAAGTTCTCGGCGGGTGCCTACCCGCGCCTGGAGGAATACCGAAGGGGCTTGCTGGGGGACTGGAACAATGCCATCTCCGGGCTGTACTGCAGGTGCCTGATGCCCCGACCCACACCCTCACCCAGCTCGGTTCCCAACCCTCAACCTTGCCACCAAAGCCCTGAGATCCCAACTCAGACTCCAGAACCAGCCCTGGGGACCTCCATATCAGAATGCACCCCAAAACACACTTCCTGTGCCTCAGCCAAACCGCCTCAGCCAAGCCCCCTCGCCACTGGGCAGCCAGACTCAGAGACTAACCATCCCCCTCCCACCATTTCCCACCTGCCCATGCACCCACAACTACCCTTCCAGGAAGGGAGGCCTGGCTCCCTCACCTTTGATGTCCCTGGCCTAAACCCCGCCCTGATCTACTCCAAGTCATCACATCTAAAAGCTCCCAGACTGTTCCCAGACTCTCAGACCCCTAAACCACAGACTCGATTCTAGGATACCCACTCTAGTCTGGCCTGCTTATTTCCCCACCCATCTCTAACCCCCCAAAACTGGTCCCAGAGCATCCAATCCCATCCCTTGGGGCCCTAGAGCTCAGCCTGCATTCATGGTCCCAAACTGCTAGATCTTGGCGTCCCAGATCCAGGTGCCATACCCTCCTTATCAACCCTAGTTTATAGCCCCAAGAGACCCAGCCCCAAACTCTCCTAGGCCTGGACTGTGAACACCTGAATTTGAAGCCCCCACCCCACCCCACCCCACCCCACCCCACCCTGGATCTGTGAGCCCCTGGCGTCTCCTGGTGACAATTTCCAATGTGTTGCAGGTGCTACTGATGCCTGGAGGGTCCTGAGCCTCTCACTTGGCTGTCCCTGGAGGCCGCTGTACCTGGGAGCAGAGAGCTTTGTACCCGCCCGGCCACCCTGCATTCCCTACAATACAGCCCTTGTGAAGTTGTCCTCATTGTCCTCTGCTCATGCTTAGAACCCAAATTCACACAGGATGGGGTGCAGCAGGGGGAGGGCAGGTGCTCAGGTCTGGGTCAGCTCATTGGTAGGACAACGCTGGGGAGGGGGACACCTCTGCAGATCTGACCCAGAGTTCTATGTACACAGACACCCACAAAAGAGCCGTGTGTGGCACAGGAGAGCACTACCTTTCCCTGGGTTGTGCTGATCTCCCCTCCAAGCCTGGGACAACAGGGGCCCTTCTCCAGGACACTGTCCCAAGCCAGGGTCAGGGTCTGTTCAGTGATTTTTTTTTTTTTTTTTTAATTTTAGGACAGGGTCTACAGGGTCTCACTATGTTGGACTCATAGTGATCTGCCTGTGTTCAGCCTCCCACAAGCTGGGATTACAGGAGTATGCCACCACACCCAGTCTCAATCACTATCTCTGCACCCCCCAGGGGCAGCGCCAGCACAACAGGCCCAGGGATCGAACTCCAGTCCCTGCATCTGCCTAAGCAGGCACTTTAATCCGCTGAGCTATTTGGCCAGCCCTCAGTGATCTTTTTTTAACTGGGGTTTAAACCCAGGACCTTCATATCAAGCTACATCCTGGGTTTTAAAAATTGTTTATTTTGAGACAGGGACTAAATTGCCAGGCTAGGCTCAAATTCACAATCCTCCCATGAAGCTGGGACTGCAGGCAGTTGTCAGCAGGACGGGCTTGTTAAGTACTTTTAACCCTCCCCTCCCCCACTCAGAGGAAACTTTGGTTCCAATCTTCACGTTTCTCTCCAGGTTGCAGTCTGTGTCCCCAGTACCCCTAGGGATGAGGACCTTGAGGGGTATCAAGGGGTCCTGGGAAAAGAGGTGAAGGACACATGGAGAAACAACAGGTTGCTTGGAAGCAGGAGGGGGTGGGGGGAATTCCTGCGTGCAGGGACATGGGAGAAGAGCTAAGTGGAGCAGGCAAGAGTTTGGAGGTCAAGATCAGTGCAAATGGTCCAAGGGTGCCGGAGAATGAAGAGGTGCCAGTGGGGTACGCACTGAGAGAAGTTATGAGGAGCAGAGACATGGAAGCACTCAGTACCCTCCGGCTTGTGTGTGTGCTTTCACTCAGTGAAGATTTATTGAGCACCTACTATCTGAGGAGCACTGAATTTGCAGTGGCCCCTGTGTCAAAAAACTGGGAGGAGGTGTGAAGAAGTCAAAGGAGAAGCCAAGGGCCAAGCAAAATGAAAGGACCAGCATTGGGAAAGAGGTGCAAAGGAGTTGGGGTAGTACTGCAGGAACATAGTGGAGCTAAAGGGCTGGAGAGAGACACCAAGAGGTTAGAGAGGTGACAGTGGAACAGGGAAGAGCCCATGATGAGGGACTTAAAGGTCAAGCAGGTACCACAGGGTCAGGGAGGCCCAGGATCAGCCTGTCATTCCCTGAGCTGCACAGACACAGAGGAGTCGGTCACCCTCGTCCGCCGCAGCCCCCCAGGCTCCACGCGGTTCTTGGTCTTGTGCAGGAAGTGGATGAAGCGAACCCCAGGCCCATACTGGCGGAACACGTGTGACACCTGTGTTGCGAAGCACAGGGTTAGGAGGGCATACTTGTGAGGGACGCAGGCCTTGCCTACCCCCATGAGGTCCTGGGAAAGCAATCCCCATCTCACCTGTATCCAGTGGCCAGGGGGGCCCCTCCCAGGGCTCCTGGGGGCCACGTGGTGCTGCGCGATGACTGTGCGGCGGTCGGCTGCCAGCAGCCAGACGTGCAGCTCATAGACGCACTGGTCCAGGCGGCTGTCCTCGTACCTGGGCGTGGGGTCCAGGCCTCAGCTGCCACGTAGCCCACATCCCCGCCCCCACCACTGGCCAGGGCCCAGGTGGCATGGTCTAGGCTGGGTAGTGCTGGCGACACAGGAATGACCCACACAGCCCCACACCCTGTCCTCACGGGAGGCACGGTCCAGTGGGAGGCAGATGTGTCACCCAGCTGGGATAGCCGAGTAAGGCATGGGCAGGAGAGCAGAGGCACAGGCAGAGGTGGGGCAGGGTAGGGCTCACAGGGCACCGTATCAAATGTGTCAGAGGTAGGGCAGTCAGGGGAGGACTCGTGATAAGGGGAATTAATCTGGGAAGCAGGACAAGCATCCAGGAGGAAGGAACAGCCTCAGCAAAGCCCAAAGATACAAGAGGCCAGATTTGTTTCATGAAATGCAGAAAGGAGGGGCCAGAGAGGTGGGGGCAGGCCGGGCCTGCAGGACCAAGGGCAGGGTGAGAATGCAGCACCAGGGGTGTGGGCTGAGGAGGCTCAGGGGGCCAGGTCAGGCCACAGAGCAGGGTACACACCAGTCCATGACGGTGACATCCGGCTGCTCGTCATCCAGCAGCTCCTCCCACAGGCCCTCAGCCAGGAGGTTCACACACTGCTGCTTCACCGTCCAGCTGCAAAAGAGGGTGGAGACATGGGGGCCCTGGCAGCAGCCGTGGTATCTGATCCTGGTGCTCTCATAGTGATGACGACCACCCATGGGTGCCGCCTGTTCCCTCAGCGCCATTCAGAACCCTTGGTAGCAGGTAGGGAACTGAGTTTTAGCAGAAGGTCTTTCAGGGCTAGGCATAGTAGTACACACCTGTGATCCAGCACCCTGGGAGGCTGAGGCAGGAGGATTATAAATTCAAGCCCAGCCTGTGCTACTTAGTGACCTGTGATTTAGTGACAGCCTGTCTCAAAGTAAAAAATAAAAAGGGGGGGGGGTAGGGCTGTAGCTCAGTGTAAAGGCCCTGGCTTCAACCCCCAGCACTGGATTGGGGGAGGCCTGGGACTTGCCCAAGATCACGCAGCAAAAAGTGGCAGAGGCAGGATCCACATTCTGGCCTGTGAGACTCTGAGCCCCCTGTCACACTCTCCTCCCACCACTGTGGATGGATGGAGGAAGGATTAAGGGCCTTGGGTGACTTCCCCTCCCAGAGAAAGAGGTTGAAAATAACAGTAACAGTCAGTTGCTGTTTATTGAGTGCCTGACCTGGCTGGCCCTTTCGCAGCCAGGCGTGCAGGGAAGCCACAGAAGTCCACTCACCTGAGGTTCTGCTGGAGAGGTTCCATCCCGATGTGCCATCCTCGGAAATTGCCTGGAAGACAGAGGAAGAAGGAGTACAGCATCTGGGGACAGCCCTGGGGAGGAAGAGGGGCAGCCACTACCCCTGGGACTTACCCAGAGCTTCCAGGGGCTGTCGGGTGGGCCCGGTAGGGGGTGCTGGCTGGTAAATGTTGATGCCTGAAACACGGGGGGGGGGGGGGGGAGCTCATGAGTCAGGGCCCCAAAGGGCGAGGGGCAAGACTTCCTGGGGACTCCGGGGGAAGTGGGACCCTGCTGGGAGGGCTGCAGTGAGTCAGAGGGGTGCAGAGAGGGACCCGGGAATAGAGACAGAAATAGAGGTAGGGAGAGAGGAGACAGAGCGAGCAGGGAACCACGGAGATGCTGTGACAAGACGGGTGAAAGGGAGATGTGGGACCCAGAGGCAGGGAGAGTGAGACCCCAGGACACAGAGGGGTGCAGAGGGGCTCTTCACAGGCCCCTTGATGGGCGGAGACAGAGAGAAAGAGATGGGCGCACCCTCGGGGTTGGGCGAGCGCAGCAGGTTGCGGTAGAGCGGCCGCCGCAGGAGCAGCAGCTGCCAGGTGACCCTCGAGGGCAGCAGCAGGCTCTCGCTCAGCGGTCCCCACTCCTCCAGCAGCAGCTGCCGGGCGCTGGCCTCCGACGGCTCGGGCTGCGGGAACTCGGGGGCCTCCGGGGTCGCGGGTGGTGGCGGCGTTGGCGGTGTTGGCGGGGAAGGGGGCTGCTCCTGGGGGCTCTGGGGCCCGTCGGCCTCCACCTCGGCCCCGACCGCGGCTGGGTCCCTCATCTCCTCCATGTCCAGGCGACAGCGACTGTGCCCGCGTGGAGGAGCAGCTCCGCGTTACCTGGGCGGGAGGGCGGGGCGGCCAAGGCGCGCAGAGGGTGGGGTGGGGGACGACCCGAGCTGGCTCCTCCCTTGGAGCGGGGTCCAGAGCCGCACACCGCCCCGGAACTGGGCACCCGGGCCCCAGCCTTCGGCGTCCAGGCCCACCTGTAGTCCCTGCATTTCCCAGCCTCCCTGCCCCAGTTTCCCGGGGCCAGCTGAGGACCCGCACACTGGCCCCGGGCAAGGGAAGCAGCAAATATGCTAATAGCAGGGCGCTGCTCGCTAATGAGGCCTGTCTGCCTCGTTAAGATCGGGCAGCAGGTCTGAAAGGCTAATTAGTGAAAGCCTCGCTTCCTCCCTGCTGCTCCCGGGGCAGCGGGGGTGGCCAGGGGTCCAGCCTCTGCCCCTGCTCCTCTGCCCTTTCTGGGACACACCCTCATCCTGGAAGCAAGGCGTGGTGACCAGCAAGGGGCCGAGCTAGCACAGACCCGAGATGGGAGCTGCAGTGGGGTTCTGGGGCTGGAGGAAGCAGGAGAGAGAAGCAGAAGAGCTGTATCGGGCGCCCTACCACCACCACCCCGTCTGCATCACAGGGAGTTTGGATTGAGGGATGTGGAATGGCAGGGCAGGAGGTGGAGCTGAGGAACCTGTAGGACGGGATGCCTGCGGGCCACTTCCTGACACAGGTAAGGGGGCAGGGTCGCCACAGAGCTGACAGGTCGTGCCCTAACAGATAAGCCAGGGCGACTCTGACAGCAGTTAGTTCCGGGAGGAAAGGTGACAGCAGGCCTGTGTGCCTCCTGGTGTTCCTACTCCCGTGTCACCCTCATGGCAACCCTGTGAGGGGTACAGCTGTGATCCCCATTTTACAGATGAGGAAACAGGCCACCTCCGGGGCCTGGTCCCTTACACTTCCGCACTGCATTTCTAGAGAGGAAGCCTGACTGTCAGGATGCTGGGAACAGAGATCACTTGGGTAACTGAGGGCTGCTAGGTACCAGGAGCTGTCCCCAGGCCTGTAGGTTGGGTGGATTCATTCAGCTCACGTCCACCCTAGGTCACCCTATGTCCATTCCTCAGATGAGGAAACGAAAGCCGAGAGAGAGGTCTCACTCTCCTGAGTCACACAGCTGCTAATGGTGAGATGGGGTGCACTTGCCCACGGGGACACAGAGTCAACTCAGCCCAGGTGATGGCTCTGTTCATGAGCTGTCTTGAACTCATCAACCTTTAACGCCACTGCAGTGGGAGCTGGTGATAGGATTCTGTTTATGGATCAGGGAACTGAGGCAAAGTAGATGAGACGACCTGCCTTGGGGGAGCTGGGGAGTCACCAGGACCTGGGAGCAGTGGGGACCCCTGGGGTGGGGGGCAACCAGCTCATCTGAATGCCAGGCAGAGCCCCCCCAAACATGGACATCCCCAGAAGTTCCCAGGAAAACTGGCAGGGCACCCAACACACCCATGACCAGGGATTCTCCCCTCGCCACCACAGCCCACCACAGGGCTGCCCTGGGCCCTGTCACCCTCGTTGTCATGGACACAGGGGGAGGGGGAGGGGTGTCTGGCAAGCAAAGTTAGAATCCAGAGCTGGGTGTGGCTGGAGACAGAGGAGTGGAGATGAGATGAGATGGAAGTGCTTAGGAGTCTGTGGCCCATGGGGGCCTCCCTCTCTCCTCCCTCTCTCCTGTGTGCCCTGGCCTGGCTGTGTTGGCCATCATCTCTTCTGGCTGCCTCACTTTGCTGTAGCGAAAGCCAAATCCAACCACTTAAACCTTCCATGGCTCCCTAGTGCCCTCCAGAAAAAATTTCAGCCCTTTGGTTGGCATTCAAGGCCCTGGATTTCTGGTCCCTGCAACTGGGACTTGTTCTTCTGCCTTCAGGCTTTCCCTGTGACATTCTCTCCAGCTGGGATGTCCTTATCTCTCACCTGTACCCCCAAACTCATGGCTCCCAAGCATTAGGATGTGTTAGCACCACCTGGGGAGTTTATTAAAATGTTGATTCCTAGTCCCACCCCAGGAGTCTGGGGTGGGCCCAGAACCTACTGGGGCAAATTTTACTTAATTTGAGGGGCCTAGATCCCAGACTGTGCCCTGGAAGCCAGGTGGGTTCCAGCTCAGAACCCAAACTCCCCTCTCTTCACTGGGAGATCAGAGAGGCCCAGCGAGGGGCCCCAGCCCTGGGCAGGCTCTTTCCCTAATGGGCTGTGGCCTGGGTGGCCCACACAGCACCCTCCCCAAAAGCCACATGCCTTGCACGCATCATACATGCGACAGTGTGTGAGCCATAGTGTGGCCACTTTGGGAAAGGATTTGGCAGCGCCTTATGAAGCCAAGCGTGCTGGAAAGAGCTGTGCCCACTAGGCCCACCTGGGGACCACGCAGGGGCACTGAGCCTGTCGCTGTGCTTTCTGCCAAGCTCCGAGCTGAGGACAGTCATGTGCTGTGGACGGCACACGCCATGCCAGGGTCAGGACCCGGAAGGTACTGCAGGCTGAGTGATGAAGTCTGGGCCTTAGCTTGGGGCTGTTGGGTGCTGTGACACCCTCCAGAGGTGGCGCTCATGGGAAGTTCTGGCCACAGGGCTGTGCCCTTGAAGGGACCTCCAGCCCCAGCTCTTCCTCTTTGGTTCTTTCATGTCCTAGCCATGAACTGAGCAGGTTTACTCTGGCACAGACTCTTCCTGTGTGCTGCCTCATTAACACAGAGCCCTTGCTTTGGATGGGCCAGTCGATCATGGCCTGAACCCAGGAGCTAAAATAAACCTTTCTTCCTTTTAAGTTTATTACTTGAGGTATTTTGTTACAGTGATGGGATGCTGACTAACACACAGTAGTATATCTAAACAGTGACACCATGCTCAGCAAACTAGCCAGGCGGAGCCTTCCCAACCTGGAAATCCCCAGGTGCACAGCTATAACTGTGGCACTTAGGAGGCTGAGGCAGGAAGATGGAGAGTTTGAGGCCAGCCTGGACCATAAAGTAAGACAATGTCTCAAAAAAAAAAAAAAAAAAAAAAAAAAAAAAAAAGAAAAAAAGGGAGGGGGAAAAAAAAAAAAAAAAAAAGGAAGAAGAAGTAGAAGAAGGAGAGGGAAGAAAGAAGAACAAAAAAGGATAGGGAAGAACAGGAAGTGGAAGGGGGAGGGGAATGGGAGAGGGAAAGGGAAGGAGGTAAGGAAGGGTAAGAAGCAAAGAGAAAGGAAGGGAACAAACTATCCAAACATAAAACATGGATGAACCTAAAACTCGCTATGCAGAGTGGCAAAAGCCAGGCAAAAAACATAACCTGCCAAGTGATTCCATTTATATTAAAATCTGGAAGAGGTCAGGCTACTCTTGAATCAAAGAAAGCAGGGTTGTGATTGCTGGGGGCTGGCAAAGAGCCACAAGAGGGCGCTTTCAGGAGTGGTGACACAATTCTGTCTTCATGGTCAAGGTCATTCTGCAAGTGTAGATATTTATCAAAACTCATCTCCCTGTATATATCTTGGTTTTTAGAGACAGAGTCTTGCTATGTACCTAGTTCAAGCTGTCCTTGAACTTACCATGTAGTGCAGACTGGTCTCGAACTCATTGTGAGATTCTCCTGTCTCAGCCTCCTGAGTACTGGGATTATCGGTGTGTGCCATCTGGCCCCAGCTCTCACTTGGTAAGAAACAAACCAAAAGGAATGGGGTGCTTTTCTCTACATTCCAATAGGGGAACACCTTTTTTTTTTTTTTTTTTTGCAGAACTGGGGATTGAACTCAGGCCCTTGTGCTTGCCAGGGAAGTGCTTATTCCACTGAGCCATCTCCCCGGCCCCCATGGGAACACATGTGAGTCAAGTAAGTAAATAAAGCAAGCTGTAGGATGGCGGAGCGCCCATGCTGCAGCTTGTGAGCGGACAACATATTTAATAAGGTTTCGTCAGGGTTTTTGGGAAGATGGCCTGTGTTCTTCACCTTTCTGTCACTGAAACAAACACCCAAGACAATCAACAAGTGAGATCACGTTGTTTCGACCCACAGCTTCAGGGCTCTCAGTCCACAGCCAGCTGTCCTTGCTGCTCTGGGCCTGTGGTGGCACACTGTGGTGGTCACTTCAGAAAGACAAGGGGAGGATCTCACTGTCCCCTGACCCTAGGAACGTGCCCCCAATGACCTATGACCTCCCACTAGGCTCCACCCCTTCAAAATGGCACCAACAGAGGGAAGGAGCTTTTTTGCTAGGCATGGTGGTGCACACCTGTAATACCTGCACCCAGGAGCCCGAGGCAGGAGAATCACAGGAAGTTGGAGGCCAGCCTGGGTTACATAGTGAGACCGAAAGAAAGAGAGAGAGAGAGAGAGAGAGAGAGAGAGAGAGAGAGAGAGACAGAGAGACAGACACAGAGAGAGACACAGAGAGAGACAGAGACAGAGACAGAGAGACAGAGACAGAGAGACAGAGACAGAGAGACAGAGACAGAGACAGAGACAGAGAGACAGAGAGACAGAGACAGAGAGACAGAGACAGAGAGACAGAGAGACAGAGACAGAGAGAGAGACAGAGAGAGACAGAGAGACAGAGACGGAGAGAGACAGACAGAGACAGACAGACAGACAGAGACAGAGAGACAGACACAGAGAGAGACAGAAAGAGAGAGAGAAAAGAAAAAGAAGAAAAGAAAAGAATAAAGTGACTTTTTATTGTGCTTTGAATGTTTGGGGATTTGTAGCATTTTACTGCATTACTGATTTTAGGAAACAAGTGGGTTTTTGTTTTGGCTTTTGAGGCAGGGTTTTGGTATGTAGTCCAGACTGGCCTCAAACTCGTGGTAAGCCTTCTAGAAGCTTCAGCCCCCAAGTGCGGGGATTGCAGGTATGCACCACCACACCCAGCAATACTTGTTTTTATAAAGGAGACAAAGGTCCAGCTTCCTGTATGCTTGTGTTCTTCCCTCCACCCCTCCCCTTTTATTCGGCATTTTGAGTCAGGGTCTTGCCTGTGTAGCCCAGGCTGGCCTTGA